TCATTTTCAGGTGGGGTGGACTCACTTTTTGTGTAAACGCTCTTTTTGATGTAGAAAATGTGTTCAAATACATTAATGATACTATTTTTGTAAAAATATAAAAATATCATAAAATTCATTTTCACAGAGGAGGGTGACTCAATTTTTTGTAAATAGCTCTTTTATCTGTGTAAAATGTGTTCAAATGCATTAATGATGCTATCTTTGTAAAAATATAAAAATATGATAAAATTCATTTTCAGGGGAGGGTTGATTATCTTTTTTCTAATAGTTCTTTTTGTTCTGGAAAATGCGTTTAAATTCATGAATTATGGTCTTTTTTTAAAAATATGGATTCAGGACAAAATTTATTTTCAGGGAGGGGGGGTGCACTCAATTTTTTTTTGATAGTTCTTTTTGTTGTGTAAAATGTGTTCAAATGCATGAATTATGGTCTTTTTGTAAAAATATGACAATATGATAAAATTGATATTAAGGGGGGGTGGTTGACTCAATTTTTTTGTAAAAATTCTTTTTGTTGTGGAAAATGTGTTCAAATGCATGAATTATGGTCTTTTTGGAAAAATACGAAAATATGATAAAATTGATTTATAGGGGGGGGGTTTACTCACTTTTTTTGTAAAAATTCTTTTTCTTCTGGAAAATGTGTTCCAAGGCATGAATTATGCTCTTTTTGTGAAAATATGGTTTATTTTAAAATTTATTTTCAGGGGGGTGGATTCACTTTTTTAGGAAAAGTTCCTTTTGTTGTAGAAAATGTGTTCAAATTCATGAATTATGGTCTTTTTTTGAAAATATGGATTCAGGACAAAATTTATTTTCAGGGATGGGGGGTGCACTCAATTTTTTTTTGATAGCTCTTTTTGTTGTGGAAAATAAGTTCAAATGCATGAATTATGGTCTTTTTGTAAAAATATGAAAATATGATAAAATTGATTTATAGGGGGGGGTTTACTAACTTTTTTTGTAAAAATTCTTTTTCTTCTGGAAAATGTGTTCCAAGGCATGAATTATGGTCTTTTTGTTAAAATATGTATTTATTTTAAAATTCATTTACAGGGGGGTTTGATTCACTTTTTTGGAAGAATTCCTTTTGTTGTAGAAAATGTGTTCAAATTCATGAATGATGCTATTTTGGTAAAAATATGAAAATATGATAAAGATCATTCAGGTGGGTGGACTAACTTTTTGTGTAACTGTTCTTTTTGATGTAGAAAATGTGTTCAAAAGCATTAATGATGCTATTTTTGTAAAAATATTAAAATATGATAAAATTCACTTTCAATTGGATGATCCCTATTTTTGTAAAAGTTCTTTTTGTTGTGGAAAATGTGTTCAAATGCATGAATTATAATCTTGATGAAAATATAAAAATATTGTAAAATTCATACTCAAGGTGGTGGCCTAAATTTTTTGTAAAGTTTATATTCTTTTGATGAAAATATGGAAATATGAGAAAATTCATCTTCAAGGGGGCAGGAATTCCTATTTTTGTAAAAGTTCTTTTTTTTTTGAAAATGTGTTCAAATGCATAAATTATAATCTTGATGAAAATATAAAAATAATAAAATTCATTTTCAGGGTGGGATGGACTCGATTTTTCATGCATTTTTCATGGACTCATGTTTCCATGTTTTAATCAAAAGACTATAATTCATGAATTTTAACCCATTTTCCACACAAAAAGATTTTTTAAAAAAACCCGAGTCCACCGTCCTGAAATGAGTTTTATCATAGTTTCATATTTTCATCTAAAACTATAATTCATGCATTTTAACACATTTTCACGTCAAAAGATTCTTTACAAAAATTGAGTCCACCCTCTGAAAATGAATTTTAACATATTTTTATATTTTCATCAAAAGACTATAATTCATACATTTCCAAAACAAAAAGAACTTTTACAAAAATAGGGAGTCCACCCCCCCTCAATGTGAATTTTATCGTATTTCCATATTTTCGTCAAATGACTATAATTCATACATTTGAACACATTTTCCACAACAAAAAAAACTTTTACAAAACTAGGGATTCCACCCCCTGAAGGTGAATTTTATCATATTTCCATATTTTCGTCAAAAGACTATAATTATTGCATTTGAACACATTTTCCGCATCAAAAAGAACTTTTACAAAAAAATCGAATCCATCCCCACTGAAAATGAATTTTATCATATTTTCACCAAAAGACTATGTCTCATGAATTTTAAGAAATTTTCCATATCGAAAACTTTTACAAGGAAATCGAGTCCACCCCAACTAAAAAAAATTTGACCATATTTTTCTATTTTCATCAAAAGACCATAATTCATACATTTTCCAAAACAAAAAGAACTTTTACTAAAATAAGGATTCCACCCCCCCTGAAAGTCAATTTTATCATATTTCCATATTTTCGTAAAATGACTATAATTAAAGCATTTGAACACATATTCCACATCAAAAAGAACTTTTACAAAAAAATCTAGTCCACCCCCCCTGAAAATGAATTTTATGATATTTTCATCAAAAGACTATAATTCATGCATTTGAACACATTTTCCACATCAAAAAGAACTTTTACAAAAAAATCGAATCCATCCCCACTGAAAATGAATTTTATCATATTTTCACCAAAAGACTATATCTCATGAATTTTAAGAAATTTTCCATATCGAAAACTTTTACAAGGAAATCGAGTCCACCCCAAATAAAAAATTTGAACATATTTTTCTATTTTCATCGAAAGACCATAATTCATACATTTTCCAAAACAAAAAGAACTTTTACTAAAATAAGGATTCCACCCCCCCTGAAAGTCAATTTTATCATATTTCCATATTTTCGTAAAATGACTATAATTAAAGCATTTGAACACATATTCCACATCAAAAAGAACTTTTACAAAAAAATCTAGTCCACCCCCCTGAAAATGAATTTTATGATATTTTCATCAAAAGACTTCTATTCATGCATTTTAACAAATTTTCTTCGTCAAAAAAATTTTTTTTTTAAAAAAATCGAGTCCACCCCCACTGGAAATGAATTTTAACATATTTTTATATTTTCATCAAAAGACTATAATTCATGCATTTTTACATATTTTCCACATCAAAAAGATTGTTTAAACAAAAATCGAGTCCACCCCCCTGAAAATGAATTTTAACATATTTTTATGTTTTCATCAAGACTATAATTCATACATTTGAACACATTTTACACAACAAAAAAAACTTTTACAAAACTAGGGATTCCACCCCCCCTGAACGTGATTTTTATAATATTTCCATATTTTTGTCAAAAGACTATAATTAATGCATTTTAACACATTTTCCTTATCAAAAAGAACTTTTACAAAAAAATTGAGTCCACCCCCCCTGAAAATGAATTTTATCATATTTTCATATTTTCACCAAAAGACTATAATTTATGCACTTGAATACATTTTCCACAACAAGAACTTCTACAAATAAATCGAGATCACCCCCCTGAAAATGAATTTTATCATATTTTGATATTTTCACCAAAAAGTATAATTCATGTATTTAAACACATTTTCCTTATCAAAAAGAACTTTTAAAAAAAAGTTGAGTCCACCCCTCTCCTAAAAAAGAAATTATCATATTTTCATATTTTCATGAATTGCAATTCATGCATTTGAACATATTTTCCACATCAAAAAGATTTTTTACAAAATAAATCTAGTCCATCCCCCCTGAAAATGAATTTTATCATATTTCCATATTTTCATCAAAAGACTATTATTCATGCATTTTCACAAATTTTCTTCGTCAAAAAGAATTTTTTAAAAAAAATCGAGTCCACCCCCCTCTCCTAAAAATGAATTTTAACATATTTTTATATTTTCAAGAATTGTAATTCATGCATTTGAAGACATGTTCCTTATCAAAAAGAACTTTTACAAAAATAAGGATTCTACCCCCCTGAAAATGAGTTTTATCATATTTCCATATTTTCATCAAGACTATAATTAATCCATTTGAACACATTTTCCACATCAAAAGATTTTTCCAAAAAATTGAGTCCACCCCCCTGAAAATGAATTTTATCATATTTTCATCAAGACTATAATTCATGCATTTGAACACATTTTCCTTATCAAAATGAACTTTTAAAAAATTGAGTCCACCACCTCTCCTAAAAATGAAATTTTCATATTTTCATGAATTGTAATTCATGCATTTGAAGACATTTTCCGTATCAAAAAGAACTTTTACAAAAATAAGGATTCTACCCCCTTGAAAATGAATTTTATCATAGTTCCAAATTTTCATCAAAAGGCTATAATTAATGCATTTGAATACATTTTCCAATGAAAACCATAGAACACCATTAAAAAAGAAATTAACAACAGAATGAAATACATGGCTGCGTTGCCGCCGAAGGTAGCACAAATCTGGACTTTACAGTTATTGCTTGGTTTCATTTAAACATACAATGCTTCTCTCCATTGCAGTCGCTCTCATTGTCCAAGAAATTATGTCGCTCAGCTGACCTGAAAAAACTTCACGATGTGAATAATAAAGAATGCGAACTGTTTGCTCAAAGATGGCTTTCGGAGGAATGCGCGCAAGCAGTGATGACTTTTACAACGCATATCAAAATATAGTTGAAACATTAAGTTGATTCCTGTTTATGAAATCTTCGATGTATTTTCTTTCTGTGTATTTTATTCAGTTTGATAAAACCATTTACACCAAAGTGTTAAGCGTACAAAAGCACCTGCGCAAAATATCTACTGATGATGTCACGTGACAATATGTTAATTAATCACACTTATTTTCAAACAACTGCATCATTTTTCAACAAATGCGCAAGAAAATAAGGTTATTGCGACTAAGAAGTCCGTTACGCCAGCAGGAAACACTGAAGTCTCAATGACTTCGACGATACAGAACGAGTGTTCGAAATTTTCCAGCAAATTTTTTTTTTTCTATGTTTTGGAACTTGATTCAAAACGCAATTTTTTCCTCCAAAGTAAAGATTTTAAAAAATCGTGGTTAAATGAACGAATATGTTTTGTTATTCAACTCAAGTTACGAATGATTTACACAAACAACGCTACAAATTCCGCTGCGTAAAGGTTACAAACGGATCATTAGGAATACAATTTCCGCTGCGTAACGGTTACAAACGGATCATTGGGACACACTATCCTATTTGTACAATAAATATTAGCACGCGCCATAAGTCTGATCGCAAGTATACCTGGATGGTAAGTCATTCCTGTAAGCTCGTCCACCATCAACTTACGATGCAATCCACAATATCATCGTTGCTGATGTACTTTTGAAACAAATCGCATTCCTCGTGATTTTTAAACTGAAGTTCTTCATATTACTGCTGACCATCAACGTCTTTGTGTCTCGCAGGCACTACAATATTAAATATGCTGCTTTACTATTTGTTGACATGGATTTGCTAAAAGTTCGAAACTGTCAATATTTTCATAATCTGCGACGCGAACGTCCATGAACAACAATAGAAATTTATTGCATTTTCAAAGGTCCCGTGTCCAGTCCCTCTCCTCCAGTTGCTAAGCTCCGCCCCCCACTCCTTCCTCTTTCCAATAGTGCCCAATCCCTCTCCCTCGTAAAAATAGACACACAAACCTGTCTAGAAACTAGTGAAAATCTCGCCAAACGTTAATTGAGTTCCTTCTCCAAATGTTTGAAAGATAAAATTTCTGCGACAATTCTGCATTCCTTTGCCATGTAGCAGTCGAGTTTCGTGCTGCATAGAATAACAGACAAGGCCTGATTTAAAGGAAGTTCACCTTAAGACAAAATGAAAATTTTTTAAAGCATCTCGGTTTTTTCATAAAAAAAATAATGTTTCACGATACACTTTTTTGAGGAGGGGGATAGGAGTGAAGCATTTTGGGGAACTTAGATAAGCTATCCGTAGTTTTAATTACTTTTCAATCTCACAGTTAATTTTTAACACCTCAGAACATAACACATCCTCTCAGGTTCAAGAAAAGAAAACATTTTAATTTTTATATAAAGTGATCAATAGGCGTGGATACAACTCAAATACAAAAAATGGCAAAATATGACCAAGTGCCCAGGCCTCCGTTTAATATAAACAAATCACTTGTACCTGTGAACGACCATATAAATGAGGTAAAGTTAGAGAGCAACATCCAACTGGAGGATGACCCCACTCCACAAACTTCGTTTGAAAAGTTGCCTTTAAAAAAACACGACGAATATGTCAACTGAAATAAGAATTACTTAATGTAGTACTGAGGAGTCACTAGAGGGGTGAACAAAGTACTCTATTATATTAAGGGACGTGGGTAAAGAGGGAAGTATGGAGGTAAAGGAAACTGAACCCGTCGAGGTTTAAGATCGCCACGTTACCACATAATTTTTTTCACTTTGGGGATTTTCGTCTGAATGTATTATTGACGTGTTTATTGCATTCATTGGCGAAGTAAATTGACCAATCAAAAACGACTCAATAAATGTTTGACATATAATATTCAACAAAGTTCGGCTGTTTTAAAAATGATATCAATTCCTTTCTTTTTTCCACAAAACTCTCAAAAATGACTTAAATGTTAGTGACGTGACGGTACGCGCAAAAAACTCTTTTGAGACAATCACTAATTTCCATATTAAATATAACTCTGATATTAAACAGTTGAAAACACAGATGAAGTCAGACCAGCTAGGATGAGTAATTTTATAAACTCAATACTATTACCTTTTCTGAAGCAAAGACTATATCACACAATGCGAGAAGGGAAAGACCAAATCCAGCTGTTGGACCGTTTAGCGAAGCGATCAAAGGCTATAACCAAACTTTTTCTATCTTCTTTGTAGCTACTTCATTCCTTTATATACGCAACTTCGAGCAAAGGGAAAGGGACCACTTCAATACCCCAGTTATATCATCACATAAAGAATGTTTAGTGCAGAGTAGATCTTCTGTGAGTATCAGTTGACCACCTTCAGGTGGGCTCATATAATAATGGGGCCCATCATCATTATATGAACAAACAACTGACATCCACAAAGAATCCAAACTACAAATAAACATTCTTGGCCATGAATCACCATGACACATGAGCAATGAAAAACTAGTAAGAGTAATTGAAGTGAATGAGAGAGGTGGTAAAGGGACTTTCACAACTCCATCATTGTGGGATCTACAATGTGAGAAAATATGAAATAATGATATGCAAAGTTACAATGCATCAGCAAATTTAATTTGTCATGAAATCTCGTGCATTTCTTTCATATTATATTACATTGACTCCCAAAGACTATAGTTCCTGCACTTAACACCATAAGACTAGAGTTCATGAACATAACTCCTGACTGTTATAGTCTATGCCCCTAAATCACAAATATTATAATGAATCCCCCTAACTCACTAACACTATACTTCCTGCATCTAACTCATAAACACTATAATTCACACAATTAGCTGGCAAACACTATATTTCATGCACCTCACACTCAAAAACTATAGTTTATGCACATAACTCCAAAGATTACATTTCCCACACCTAAGTACCAATCATTAAATACAATAGATTTTTAAGAGATGACTTTTATCACAATATCTCTTTAGACGTATTCCTGACGCTAGCAAACGTGAAAATCAAGTTGTTAGTGATTATATCTGCTAAATATGATTGAAGAAAAACATCGAGCCAAGAATCATCTAAAGACATAGAAACAGAACATAAACTTACCACATCGCTTTCAATTTCATTGATAACGGCTTCTTCATCAAATTTCAACGAACGAATTTTGACCTTGCCTAAATGTAAAAGGAGTAATGTTGCAAAGGAAGCAAAGCGAGAAATGTCCGACGTCAATATATCTCACATTCAAAATATACTTTTCACGTTTTTCAGCCAAAGCCGCGTGTCGCTTTTCACGACACACTTTACGAGAACGGAATCGTAACCTTCAATGCAACAAGCCCATAGCCAGCAAATAATTACTAGAGAAAGCATGGTTTTTACATATGTAAAAAATTGACGCTCAATATTCAAAAGCATATTGAAAGGAAAACCGAATAATAAATTATGCAACGTCAATTTAAATTTTATTGCAAAACCAATCAAATTCATTCATACACATTACACTAGTTTAAATTCATAAAAAAAATTTAAAATTTTCGATCCGTGCCACGCCTTAACAGCTTTCTCTAATCTCCCAAGTTGACTTTTATAAAGCATTGATATGTGGTTAATCTCTTTTACCGCGAATTTTGTTGTAGATGGACAACTTTTCGCATTAGACAGAATATTTCACATAAAAACCGTCTGTGAAAACTATACTTTTAAAATTATAGTTGTTCATTCCTTTTTATGCAAGAGAAATCGCAAGTTATTAGTAGCCTTACAGATCTTCTTTCTCAATCAGTAAACCATAAATTTTCTTTTACTGCTCAACATTCTATTAAAAAAAAGGTAAAGGTGTGCGAACAGCAAGCGGTTTTAGATTATGTTCTTAAGCCATGAAAACCGCATGAAATCTTTGTGACTATCTATAAACATCTTCACACGTTTCTCAAGATCACATTCAGTTTCAGTTCCAAAATTTATATTTTTCTCGTTATTATAAAGCATCTTGTAAGTTGCGCTATTCATAACAGCTTAGCTTTCCGCTAATAAATAAGTGATAATGAGCAAAGTACATACAACATGTGGCTTTCAGCTTCGTAAACATTATTCTTCGTTTGTGGCGTTGACAAAACTACAACGAGAATTTCTTCTTTTAAAGTACATATCGTTACTCCATAAATCTATTTATTGAGGCTTAAATAATCGCAATGATTGTACTATCTTGAAGCAATTGAATGAAAATTGATGAGAGACTTGCGGCTGCTTCTTGCGAGATGCGGCCCCTTGCTGCAGAGTATTTGTCCTTTGTTGCATATTTCAAAAGGTTTTGAATAAACGGAACTTTTAATGAACTGAACCAGCAGCTGGTGGAAATGTCGAAGAAAATCTTGATAAACCTTTGAATAAATGGCTGGTCATGGTTAGAAGAGGTAGTCTATTGAATGGGTATGACTGGTAATTGTTAGAGATAAACCATTGAATAAATGGCTGGTTATGGTTAGAAGAGGTGGTCTATTGTTGGAGCATGATTTTCTAGTAGTTAACAACAAACCTTTGGGGTCAAAGCATTGTATTTATCAGGCCTGTTCATTGTGATTGTCCTCAAACCGCCATCAGTAGAGACAAGAATATTTTCAAACTCATTTGATGTATTAATGTCTTTGTTGGGTTGGCTGTTGGTCTTGGATTTTTGTCCTGAAGTTACATTTAAGAAATATTGAATAAATTTGCAATAACTGTTTTGGACTAAACAGCCCAAAAGTGTAAGAGATTGAGTTCAAAGATGTTTCATCTCCTTAATGAATGACTAAGGTGTTTCACTTGCATGTCAAACCTTTTTAACAATATTTAACTTTAATAACTGTAGTCATATAAAGGGAATATGGTGATCGAGTAAGAGAGATTGTATATGCTGCTTTTACACCACTGGTTTTTTCAACATCAGGTGGTATGGGGAAAGAGACGGCAATTGCTTATAAGCGGCTAGCTGATCTGCTGGCACAAAAGAGAAAGCTGAAATATGGCATCAGGCTAGCGTGGATGCGTTGTAAACTGTCTTTCGCACTGATTAGGTCAGCAATTACTGCGATACGAGGAAGTCGATCTGCCTCAACTCGCGAACATACTTTAAATATTGACCTAGGTTATTGGGAAAGTTGTCTTTACACTTGACTGTCCCTTTATCATGGATATTTTAAACATTGATGTTAGTTATCTTTGATTTAGTTTTTGACATTTATATTTGTATGTTGTAGTTTATAATTTTAATTAAATTTTAATTTTTTAAACTTTAATGCTTTAAATTTTAATTTTTTAATTTTAGGATTTTTCAAACATCAGTCATAAAACGACGGGGGCGATCCGCACCTGGGGTGGTCTGAGGCATTCTCCCCTGAGAAATTTTGAATTTCAGAACCTTGAAAATGCCATTTTCAGCGTTTTAGAGCAATACAAAATGTATTTTGTGGGCATCGGTTTTGCGTAAGTACAACACATTTTGCTTACGTTTTTTTCAAAAGAAAAATGAAGTGAACAATACTTGAATGTTTTGCCAAATATTTAGGCTCATTATCATGCCAAATATATGGCTCATTAGCATGTCTAGGAACGTAAAATTTATTTTACAATAATGCTATTCAAAAACAGATACAGTCTTTAAAAATTTCTACCAAGTTGTCAGGCATAGACCCCCCCATTCAAACCTCTATGTAACGAGTTAAGTTAGAAATTTGGTACTACAAGTGACAGTTCATAGATATAGAAAAGCTCAGACTTCAAACCATGCAAGTTTATTGTAACCCTTTACCCATCTCCACATCAGTGTCAGCAAATTCACTTTTGAGAAAAACTCAAAATTTTTCTGCCAAAGATTAAGCAAAAATTATCAGAGTAAAAATTTGCAGTTAAGGACAGCTTAATGTCATAAATGTTTATTAGGCATTTCACTAGACTATTATCTTCTGTAAGTATATGCAAGGTGTGCTATATAGCAATCACTAGTAGCATTGTATTTGCAAATACAAACAGAATGTAACCAACATGTCTTTAATTATATAATTACATGAATGTTATATTTGGTTCATGTGTCATGCTTACTGGTTATGATAAATATCTTTTGATATGATCAAAGCTCGTTTGATCTGAAATAATTTAGTTTAGAAATTATAATGATCATCAGAAAAATTACATAGTGATCATGAAAATACTTTGCTGTTTTGCCAAATTTCAAGGTTTATCTGCATACATAGGAAGACATTTTTACTCTATAAAAAATGCTTTTCATACATCAATAGCCCTTTGGATTTTATGGTATGAGCCATAGATTAACACACCTTTACATCTCTACATGAGGTGTTCAGTTTGAAAAGGGGACAATATGTGACATGGGACAACATTTCATGTATGTGAAATACTCAGGTTTAATACCATTCCAGTCAAATTGTCAAAATAAAAGCTTCATGGATCAGAAGACTCAAAATCACAGGTTATAGTAAACAGCTTCTCATGTAATCAATGTTAGTTTTCTCAAATCTTAAACAATATGTAGTATAACTGTCCAATGATTGAATGATCAATGATCATAAACTGAAAAGCCCCAAACATTTGCTTATGATAAAGTAAATAATAGTATGGCGCCTTATGGCTACAGATTTTTTGTCCATTGAAATATATTTGCAGGAATGTAGGATTTTGCTGCCATATAACGGCCACGATTCCCCAAGCACTAAAGAAATTATAGCTAAAACTCCTTCGGCAACAACAATTTTAGAAGCATCAATCTGCTTACCATATGGCATATTGACATAAATCGCATCACATACTCGCATAAATTGACTTTGATATATTACATTCATGCATACACTTCACTTGTCCTTTACTTACGATTTTGGATGTAAATTTCTGCTGATAAAACTCAAAACAATGTTGGCTTTCTTTTGAACATCAATGACTGAAATGTCGCTCGCGAGATCGTCTTCGCCAAGCATTTACAATTTATATAAATTTTTCACCCTCTTGAAAAAGTTCACAGTTTGGACAGCTTCATTCATGTCAATATATGAATTTGTAAAGATTTCCATAAAATCCATCTGATTGTAGTTTAGTTTCTATCATGCTTATAAAATTGCTATGAAACGATCAAACATTCAATTCAGACAGTGAGCTTGACTATGTTAGTTCAGTTGGCTATCAGTCGAAATCCGTCAAACCAATCACAATAAAACAAAAATTCAAATGAACCAATTGTAAGATAGCAATGAAGTATTTGCCGGTTGCCAGTCTCCCTTAAATTTGCGCAAATTTGCTCATTATACTGAACTACCATTTTGCTTGCACCAAGTCAAATGGAAGAGAAATGGAGTGCAAACAATGACCATTAAGTCGAGTACGTATATTTCCGATCGTATTGAAGTCACATTTTAACAGATGGAAAAATAATGCTACAAGTTAATGTTTCCTTTTCACTTGTAAGAGTTTCTTAAAGAATCCTTTTACGTGGAGAACTGTGTCTTTACATGATCGCCGATATTGCTTTTGCTCAAAAGTCTTGGTAGTGTTTATGCCGATGAACTAAAATGGCGGGATAGCTGGTCATTTATCGTCACAAAACGTGGCCAGAAATACTCAGAGAAACATCATCACGCAGCAGACATATCGAACTGGGGTGAGCCTGTCACTGCTCGTTCTACAGTTCCTCTTGTTCCTGCTAAACAATCTCAATGTGCTTGGGATGACAGTGAAGAATCAAAGCGAAGAAGAATGTTTTGTGATAAGTTTGAAGGCTATGGAAGTGTATGCAGTTGTAAGTATCTTTTCGTTACATCCATGTAGGATTAGATTTCTTATTTAATTGAACGTACAGCGATGTGTTCAGTAATTTTGCCATTCACATTGTGCATTAAAACTTCGAGAAAATATTCTGAGAATACTCCATGGAAAAATTGTAGAAATAAGGATATCACTGTTATTGCAGCTAATGTTAGAACGATATGAAGAACTGACAGAATATGTTCTTAAATGTTGTAGGTAATAATCCTGCTCCAATTGAAATTAAAACAACACCGTTGAAGTTAGAAAAGTTCAAGACATTCCTGTTGCTGTGATTGCTAGTAACAGGCCACATTATCTTTATCGTGGCTTACGGTCAATGTTGTCAGCTCATGGAGCAAAGAAGGAGTTATTTACTGTATTTATTGATGGATTCTTTGAAGAACCAGCTGCTGTGGCAAGGCTATATGATGTAAAAGTCGTACAGCATATTCCTATTAGCAGTAAGAACGCTAGAATATCACAGGTTGGTAAGGCTTTTTCTTTGAGAGTGTTTACACGATGTAATCAAAATTTTTCGTTCCTTTTATTACTTTTAAATGTATTTTCTCTTCCTCCCAGCATTACAAGCGAACATTGACAGAGACGTTTAATGCTTATCCCAATGCTGGGTATATGATTATTTTGGAAGAAGATTTAGACGTATCTGTGGACATATTTAGTTATTTTAATCAATTTTGCCTTTAATGGATACAGATGAAAGTCTGTACTGTATATCGGCGTGGAATGATCAGGTTTGTTATAAACGAAAGCTAACAACATTCTTTTCATCTTTTAGTCTTTTACTCTATTGTTGGCTTGTGTTTGCTACACAACAAAATTTTAATTCGTTTTCAACTTTATTAACGTGGTTTTGAACGTCTCTGATTCTTTTGCTTTTTGTCGAGTCCAGTTTATCTCTGACGAGAGTGCAGAATGTAAATTAAATAAATCTCAAATATTTTTCACATTATAATGGAAAATGGAAATCTCCGTACAAGAATCTGTTATCTTATTGTAGTTTTCATTGGTTACATTATGTTTGTCTTTATCGAGCTTCCTTCCTTGCACATCACAAAGTGAAATTTAGGAAATTTACCTTAGAAATGGTACATCCATTGAAAAACTAATTTATGTGATTAATGATTTAATTGCAAAAACAAGTATTTCTATTTTTAGGGTTATGATCACACGTGTAATGATCCTGCAATGTTATATCGTGTAGAAACAATGCCTGGTTTAGGCTGGTGAGAATTTTTATTACTACAAATGATTTTGTTTACGCTATGACATCACGCAACAGTGACGTCATGCTACAATGACATCACACTACAAGCACATCACGCTGCAATGACATCACGCTACAATGACCTCACGCTGCAATGACATCACGCCACAATGACATCACGCCACAATGACATCACGCAGCACTATAAATGTATAGATAGTATAAACTTCATTCTATCTATTATTTCTCTTTGCATTAACAGGTTGCTCAAACGACGAGTTTATAAAGAAGAACTTGAGCCAAAATGGCCAACCCCCTGATCTCTTTTGGGATTGGGATATGTGGATGAGGATGGACAGCAACAAAAAGGGACGTGAATGTATCATTCCGGATATCTCAAGAACCTACCATTTTGGCGCCAAAGGCCTGAATATGAATGTATTTTTTCAAGAATCCTATTTCAAAAAACATACGTTGAATACTGAACCTAACGTTAAGTTTAATGTTGGATTGTTGAAAAAAAGAAAATTATGAGAAGGAGATTGAACGGCTTGTAGGGTATGTCTTGCAGGATTTTATAAAATATTGACAACAATATTTTTCTTTTCACAGGACAATGAAGGAGATTTCTACTTAGTGATTCAGTGATCTAATTATCATCATAGTGCGTATATTTATGTCATTTGATTGTTAGAGATGTCTATCTACTGTTTTTTACAGGTTGGCAGAGCCGTTGGATCACAGTAAAATCCTTGCAAGAACGAGAAAGACTTTGTTCCAGAAACATCTG